CGGAACCACGGTTTGATTGGTTCGGTTTGTTTCGGTTCGGTTTCGGTTCTTTCGGTTTTTTACCAAAAATTTGTCATTTGATTTAAAAATAATATAATAGTTGGAGGGATCAAACATATTACATAAAAAATACAAGCATACTAGAATAAATGAAGAAAAAATAAGAATAAATAAACATGTCTTGAGTTATATGAGCATGCAGGAGTGATATAAGTGTATATATTCTTACTTTGCATTGTTTGTGACTAGTTTGAAAAAAGTTCATGAATACATGCATCATATATTCGTATGTGATATAGCTGAGATGAATATTTATTTATTTATGAACGTAAAATATGTAAGTTACATAACAATGTAATTTAATTACTACTAATAACTTGTAAAAATAAAAATCACGCAACAAATTGCAACGCGTGCGCGGTGCGCGCACACACACGCGCGCATAGTGGTGGACCCGGTTCGGGCCGCCCGGCCCGGGACCGGCCCGGCCCGTCACTGTACGGGCCCGGAACCGGCCCGGTTCTCAGGTCCGGTTCGGGCACCGAACCGGTGGGAGAAGCGGGTCCGGGCTCGGGTTCTGTTTTTGGTGGCCCGGCCCGGCCGGGTCGGGCCCGGGCCCGGGCCTAACGGTCATTTAAAAAAAAAATGTTTTGATTTTAAAAAACACATTTTGGCTCAACAGCCACTTCCCAAACGGCTATATAGCCGTTGGGGGGTACCAGGGGGGGTCCGAGGCGTTTGGGGAGGTGGGGTGGGGGGTGGGGGGGTGGGGGGGTGGGGGTTAAAAAAAACCTATAAATACTCCTAATTTTAAACATTTTTTCACACCTCTTCTCCAACTCTCCCTAAATCCTACTCTCTACTCATCTCCAATTCTCCATATTCATCTTCTCAAATTCTCTTATTCTCCTTTATATTTTATTTTACTATTTAATACTTATACAATTATTATATCTACTTATATATTAATTATCTACTTATAAATACATATACTATATTACTTATATTTCTTATCTACTTAATCTCTACTTATATTTCTTAATACATACATACTACATCTACTTAATATATACTTTATATAATAAAGTATTAAATATACTTTATAAACTATTACTATATACTTAATACATAATAATATCTACTTCTCTACTTAATAATATCTATTTTATATATACTTATTTTATAATATCTACTTTTATATATACTTTATAATATCTATTTTATATATACTTATTTTCTTATTTTCCAATCTCCAATTCTCCATTATACTTATTTATACTCTAATATTTAATTCTTATACAATTATTATATCCACTTAATACATACATTCTACATCTACTTAATATATACTTTATATATTAAAGTATAAAATATAAGTGTATTACTCATCTTATAGTAGTATACTTATATATTATATACTATAAACATTATATTATATATTACTTACTATAACTAGTATTGTACTAGTTAATTAGTTAATTAGCATTGTTGTTACATTTATCATTATAATAGTTAATTAGTTCATTACCATTATTGTTACATTTTTCATTATACTAGTTAATTAGTTAATTAGCATTGTTGTTACATTTGTCATTATACTAGTTAATTAGTTAATTAGCATTGTTGTTACATTTTTCATTATACTAGTTATTTACTTCATTAGTATTCTCATTAATTGTTAAAACAACTCTACTTCAATAAACTAGTTAATTGTCATTAATTCATTATAGTTAAAGTCACATTTTCTTATTTTCAATTTATATTTGTAGGAAGAAATAGTAGTTCAATCATTTAATTAAAGTACTTAACATTTTATTTAAGTAGTTTTTACTAAGTTAAAGTACTTCAAAAGTTGGTATAATTTTAATTTTAAAGTCACACATTAATTCTACTTTGCACTAAATTAGTTTGAAGTATTAATTAAAATAGTTTTAATTAGTTGCATTAGTTTTGTATCCATTATTATATTGGTTGTCAACTAATATTTGTTACATTTTTAAGATGGAAGGTGGTAGATATTCGGTTGATTTGGGTAACCTCCAACGCAATCGAAGGAACGAGATTGGGAGGAAGAAATCCCGCAAAGGTAAAGAACTTGCCGGTTCTTCATCTCAAAGCCGAGATGATTTTGAAACGGGTTACCAAAGGCGAGATGGAGATGCGATGTCCGAAGAACAACTCCAACAAGAATTGGCCTGACATAATAACCGCTTTCTACAACAACAACAAATGCCGACGACCATTGACGAAGAGGAGCTTGAGGATGAAGATGCGGAGGAATTGGAACCGGAGACGGCCGAGGAGGAGGGTGCCGGCAGCCACGACGCCGACGAGCCTGCCTCATCCCAAACCGCCACCGGTAATAAACAAAGTAAGTCTGAACTAATGAAAAATAATTTTGATAAATAGAAGGACCCCGTGGAGTATGCAAAATTAGGCGGCGGAACGGGGAAGCAAACTCAAATATCGAGGTTTGCGAATTCTCAACCTTTTGGTAATTTCTCCTACAATGATGCACAAAATTTGACTGGTATGGCTAACTTAATTTGTGAAGAAAATTTGCCTTATTTGTTTTCTGAAAGTCTTGCTTTAAGAGATTATGCACAAGGTAGTTTAAATCCTCAATTTAGAAATTATAGTCGCAAAACTATTAAGAAAGAAATAATAAGGCTTTATAATGCGGAAAAGGAAAGATTACAAAAATTTTTTGCAAACTTTGATGGGCATGTTACTATTTGTTCTGACATATGGGAGGATGATTTTCATCATTTATATTATTTGGGTCTGACTGCACATTATATTGATGAGGATTGGAATATGCATAAACGTGTTCTTGCTTTTCGTGAATTTAATGATCATCACACCGCTGAACATATTTATATTTTGATTGAGCGTATTTTAATTGAGTATAATTTGATTGATAAGGTATTTGCTATTGGTTTCGATAATGCTACTAATAATACTGCTGTTATACCTAGATTGCGTGAGTTGTGTGATGTCAATACTTTGATGGGTAGATTTTTTCATCAACGGTGTGCATACCATGTTATAAATTTATGTGTGCAAGACGGTTTAAAAGCGTTAGGAGATTCCATGGAGGTAAGCAAGGGAGGGATTAGACGTATTTGAGGTAATGGTCAACTTAGATTAAAATGGCAAACTTATTTGACTGAAAGAGGTGTGAGATATGTTGCTTTTCCTAAAGATTTGAAAGCCGCACGTAGAACTCAAGAAATGAGCATCACCCCCTCCCAAGATTTTATGGATGACTCAACAACCGATGGTGGCTCTACCTATGCCGGAGATTCCGATTGATTAGTATTTTAGAATTTATTATAAAATGTATTTTATAGCACTTGTCAAATTTATTTATACTTGTACTTCATATTTCAAAATTGTAAACTTGTACTTCATATTTCAAAATTGTAAATTTGTAGTTGTACTTCAAATTAATTTGTAAACTTGTACTTCATATTTCAAATAAATATGTGTTCACTTTTTCATATGTAGCACTTCTCAAATTAATTAATTGGTTACAAACTAACGACTTAAAATTATTTTTCTAAAATATAAAGCCGGTTTTTAAATTAAAAATACATTTACAATATGTAATTTGTTTAAATACTTATACACCTATTTTGTAACATTTGTAAATTATAAATCAAACCACTTTTCTAAGTACAAATAGTTTTAGTTTTACTTAATTCATTAAATTAATTAATTTATTTTACAATATGCATAACTTAAAAAAAATGAAATCAAACCTCCCAAACGGCTATATAGCCGTTGGGGCTATGGGTGGGGGGCAGGGGGGTCCCGGGGGTGGTGGTGTGGGGAGGGGTTCAAAAACATCTATAAATACATCTATTTTCTAACATTTTTCTACATCTCTTCTCCAATTCTTCTCCAACTCTTCTCCATCTTCATCTTCTCTTATTATCCTACATTCCTACTTATACATATACCATTTTAAATATGGAAAGTACATCTTCCCTTATGCAAAACAATTTTGACAAGTGGAAGGACCCGAAGACCGGACTGTGGTGGGCAACTTGCAGGTGGTGCAAGAAAGAGTGTTGCTTGGGGCGTTCATACGGATACGGGATGCCAATAAAACATATGAAGTCATGTGACAAAGGGAAAACAACAACCAACGGTGGCGGAAATCCCAATTGATATTCATTAGAAAATGTATTTCGTATTGTTATTTTTTTTTCAATTCTCAAATGTAGTTCTTATTTCAAATAAATGCACTTGAACTTTGTTTTAATAGGAATTTGTATAATATATAATTAATTAAAAAAAATACTGGCCCGGCCCGGCCCGGCGGGTGGCCCGGCCCGAACCGGAACCGGCCATTGCCCGGGCCGGTCCCGGGCCTACCATTACAAGACCCGAGGCCTGACCGGGCCTTGACCCGGCCCGGGTCCATCACTACGCGCGCACACACACGCACACCCACACACACCCACACGCACGCACACGCGCACACGCACACACACGCACACACGCGCACACACACGCGCACGCACACACACACACACACGCACACACACTCACGCACACGCACACGCACACACGCACACGCGCACGCGCACACACACATGCACACACACACATGCACATGTACACGCGCACACACACACACACACACACACACACACACACACACACACACACATATAGAGAGAGAAGATCCCATGAGAAGTCCTAGTTAGGCTGAAAAACGAGAAGTGATTACTAATGTCCGATCAACTCCTTCAAACTGTCCAATTAATTCAATATAGCTGTATCATTAATGGCGTTTTTATAAAATTCGTCAACTCTATACCTTTTTGTTAAATAGCATGTTTGCCATCTCTGTCCGTCTCTTCCAATTGTCTCTTTCAGTTCGGCAATTCCATGGCCGAGCGATGAAGGTTATAAAAAAATAAAATTATGTTATCCCGTGCACGGCACGGGTAAAAATACTAGTATATATATATAAAGTACAATATTAGGAACAATTCACGTTGATCGAAGAATAGAGGATGGGAATATTTGAGGACGAGAATGATCAATTTTCAAACCAAGGGTTTTAGTAGTCTATGTCATACATGGAAATATGGAATAATTTGATTGAAAGTTCGATCAAACGCAATTACACATGGACCTTGACACCCCAAAGAGACATAATCCCTACTATATGATGAGTGTGTGTCTTTTTAAAATATATAAACTACTCCCTACAAATCTACAATACACCACATCACCATCAACATCATAAGGTGTAACCTGCACTTAAGATATAGGTCTACCAAGAGAAAATCCTGCACTATAGAGCTGACCTAAAAAACTGAAGCTGGCTTAGGATCTTCAGCGAGCAGACAATCTTCATTTCAAGTCAGCAGAAGTTCAGTCCAGGCCTGAAACTAGAGGGCGTTTTTCGTCCAACGTGCATATATGGTCATCATTTGAGTAGGATAAAGCTGCATAGCACAAAAAATACCACCAAAAAATGTCCATCACAAAGTTATCTGGGGTCTGAAATGTTGCTCCTCGTCCATTACTTTTAGCATTTTGACAACTTTCTCAGTGACATCCCCATAAACTTGGGAGACTACAGAAGAAGGTTCTGATACTACGATGGGGACACCTTCATCACAACCACTTCTGATCCCTACTTCTAGTGGCACCTATATCAAGTAAACTTAATATGATCAGCAACCGTATACATGAACATCCTATGTTAACAACAAGAGCAAACAACCATGTAATTTACACGTGCCAAATCCTAGTCATCAAAACAGTATGGATGAAAGGAATCCTAGTCTGTAACACCTCGATTTTTGTGAGCTAGTGATAAAAGTTGTTAATAATTTAGTCATTTAAGTACTTGGGATGCGCCTATTGTTGGTCAGATTTTCAAGTTTAGATTTAACAAACTGATCATTAATCAAGATAACTAATTTGCTTCCTAATTCTTTCTTTACATACGGGAGTGTTCTGTTTTGGGAATAGAATCTAAGAATAGGATCAGTTCACCCATGCTTGTTTTTTAAAATTTTCTCTGTTCACGTTGACGACTCGAAAGCATTGAGAATCTAAGAATAGGATCAGTTCACCCATGCTTGTTTTTTAAAATTTTATCCGTTCACGTTGATGACTCTAAAGCATTGAGTATTTCTAAACTCAAAGGGCTGGTTTCTATTTGTTTTGATTTTGAGGGTCTTTAACTGTGTGGAATTAATTAGCTGATGCATAGGGATTTTAAAATAGGAGAATACCATTTTCTTTATATCCAGAGTTTGCAAGTTTAATCACAATTGGAATTGATTTACATACACTAATGCACACCTATTATTATGCCATAACTAATTTCAAGTTTCATTTAGAATTTATGTTCAGTAGTAGCAATGTTTTCCTTAGAGCCCGTTTGGAGACCTCTGTTTTCGGCTTATCAGGCTTATCAGCCAGCTTTTTCACCAAACACGTAACTTTTACTTTCGCGCGCTGAATTGTGTAATAAGCCAAAAAAGTAAGGTTGGAGTTACTTTTCTGGCTGTATTGGCTGAAGTTACTGTAGATGACCATTTTAGCTATTTTTACATATAATTTTTTCTTTATTTTATTAATAAAATATATTTTTAAAATATTTTTTTCTTAAATCAGCAGAATCAGCCAAAACAGCCACTTCAGCCAAAATATCATAAATTTCAGCAGAATCAGCCAAAACAGCCAATTTTGGTGCTACCAAACGGGCTCTTAGTCTATTAGTTTTTCTTGACACATAATATTCTTAATACCCTATTATATTTAATTAATTAATTAAAGATTTTAAGGAAGAGCTTACCAAAAGACGTTATGTCGTTATCAAGGTGTCACACTTATTTTTGAGTAATTTGAGTTCAGCTTCTACAGATAAGTTCACTACCACCAGTACATGTTTGCTCAACCAAAAGAAAGAAAGAATTCTGGTTGATTTTTAATAGATTATTTTAGACTATTTGTTATTATGTGAGCTTGTTGAATTATTTGATGAATTATTTTGTTTGTTGTATTAAGTTATGTTTATTATCTGGCATAGTCAAGATTATATTAGTACTTTTTTAAGATTTTAACTATGTTTTTAATCAAACGTCACCATAAAAAGAACTAATATTTAAAGTGAAAGATTAAGTGATATGTACTCGAGAATAAGTTCCCACAGAGTTATTAGTTTACAGTTTCAGAGAGTTTGATATGTTTAGTGGATCGCTCCCCCGAGCTATCGGATTGGCACCATTGAGTACATATCACGGGCCCAAAGTAAAATTAGCCACAAAGAATTTTACACAAAGTTTAATGAGATCTATTTCAAAAAGTTTGGGAGAAAAATCAAAAAAGACACTAAGATTATTCAAGAATCTCAAATTGAACACTTAGCTTTTAACCGGACCAAATTAATACATGGCCACTTATTTTGATAACATTTGGCCACCCATTCACATTTCAATTTAACAGTGCTCCAAGATTAACGCCTCTTTAATACATCTCTAACGTGCCTACTCTCACTTCCCCTTTTCTCTCCATCTAAACCCTGTCCTCTTCCTCTTGGTTTCTGTCGTTCGATGCTTATGTTAAATTCTCCACCAGTCAAGCTTCTTTCAACTCCCTTCATCCCAAACTTGAGACGAGACCATTAATTCACCAAATACGAAAAAACATAGAAGATGAACAAGATTACAAGAGAGATTTCACGAAGGAACATTGACCAATTTTTTAATTTCCTTGGTTGTGCTTATTCTTATGGTTGCGATTTTTACTCAATCTTTACTTCAGCCGTGGTCGGAAAACAGTTTACCGAGTCTGTTGAAATTCAGAGTAAGCTTGATAAGAAAATTTTGGGTCCACCAAACAAGGCTCGCCCGGTTCAGAATGACGGAATTCTCCCCTGCGACCTAGGATTTCAGAGAAGTTCTTTGCCTCCAGCGGCTTTGACGGGCAATGGTTGCACACAATCCACGTGCGGCAGATAAGTTCTTCACCTCTAACATTGAAATTATGGCACAGGCAATAAAGTAAGTGAGCAGAGCTTCAAAACCCAGTGCTCCATATCCACCAGCAATGGAAGGGTGTGGTCGATCTATGCGTGCGTGGTATGTGAGCCCGACTTGAGATTCACCTCCTACTCCTACCCCTACAAGGACATCAGTGATGACCAGAAGCAGAGATTCGATTCATATTCCTAATATGACAAAGCCGGTAACTAGGGTTTTGAATTATTATTTTGGGTACAAGGGTTTTGAATTGTGAAATGAACGACAATGGAGATATCAGATATGATTGAATTATTGCAGCAACTTCTAGCCTGGATTTCTATGTAATTGGAAGAGATAAAAGATTGTTAATGTTGGGATGGTCCGTTAAAGCAAATGTTAGTGAGTGGTTAAATGTAGCTTCAATAAGTTAATTATGTGTTAATTGGGAAAATGGAAATTAATAATCCAACCTTTTAGCGGTCTTCTTACAATAATCCAACCTTTTGGTTATTCATGAATAATCCAACCTTTGCACCTCATCTTCATTCACCGGTCCCTGACCGGTTGATGACCTGCTATTCCAAGCTATTTTCTTATCTTTGCAAATCATTATACCATAAATCTCATCTTTCACAAAGATAATATTTTGCAAAGATAAGAAAATAACTTGGAATAGTAGGTCATTAACCGACCAGAGACCAATGAATGAAGATGAGGTGCAAAGATTGGATTATTCATGAACAATCAAAAGGTGGGATTATTGAAAGAAGACCGCTAAAAGGTTGGATTATTAGTTTCCATTTTCCCGTGTTAATTTGGTCCACTAGAAAGTTTAGTGTCCAATCCGAATTTTGTAAAATTTTTCAAATATTAATTTGATAAATTAGCATAGACTTCTCAAATATTTTTTGTGGATCCATAATGACTTACTAAGCGTAAAGCTTATATGCTTTCCTCCTTCGCGTGTACAGATACCAAGGATAAGACCAAAGCCTAGAAAGATAATGAGGGAGTGGAACGTGTTCCAAAATGAGTTAACGGGAATGACCTTGGCGGCTTCTGGCTATTATTATATCTAAGTATTTCAATTCTTATAGTAAAGTGATTGTTATTATTTAATTTGATTTGGAGTTTTTATTTTGATTGTTTGTAGTTTGAGTAAATTCTTGGATCCAGGTGCTTATCACACTCATTGGTGATAATAAGATTTTATCAAGTTTTATATGGAGTTGTATTTTAGTCACTTTTTTGAGAAATTATCAGGATTATTTCTTAAACAAACGGCCATTATATTGCAATTTATTTTTTAAAGTAGTAAGTTAGCGTAACATTTTCTTTAATCCTGAGAGGGGCGTTACATAGTCCCCAGTCCGATCCATAAATACCTCACCAAGAAACTTCATGCCCATTTCTTCGGCTGTTTTGCGAACACCTCCTTTTCCAAAGATATTTGAAGGCTCATGGCAATGAGGGCACTTAAAGTAGCTCATGTTTTCCAAGATTCCAATTATCTGTTACCATTATGCATGAAGGTGATGTTATGTTGACTTGATCTCCCAAAACCAATGCCTACTCTTACTGAATGCGCCAGAGAATGAAAAACATACCGGAACATTAACTTTGGAAAACATTTTAACACCCCTCCGAGCATCCATTAATGCAACATCCTGAGGAGTTGAAACAATCAATCCTCCTGTCAGGAAAATGATATCTTAAAACATTAGCCACATATGTATAAACCTATAGTGTGCAGTTAAAGAAACTGAAGGGTTAAGACATTTGTGGAAGGTGTATAGTAATAACAGGGAGCTTACAGCCTAATTTTAACTAACATAGATGCAAAATGAAGTTTAGTTCCAAAATGTATCACTCCACAAATTCAAAAAGTTTATTTCTTTAGGTGAAGTTATGTAAATCTTCAACTCAAAAGGCAACTTAGGCTGGTTTCCCTTTAGGGTCTATCAGGAACCGGGATTATAACTTTGATGTGGGGGGGGGGGGGGGTAAGCACTAATACTCAATATAATTATTTTAGATGTTCGTACGAACTCATGTAATACTCAATAGCTTTTTATCTTTCATATCTTTCTTTTCCTTTTGGTCCCGATATCATGTATCGATGCATGTTAGTCGACCCCAAAATCTTTTGGGACTAAGGCTTGGATGTTGTTATTGTTTGTACGAACTCATTTAATTTACTTATTTCTGCCATATAAACACTAACAAATCTTAATATATGGAAAAAACTAATCATATTCATTTTCTTTTGCAATTCCAAAGGTAAAGCAAAACATAAGAAAATAACTTCCCTTTAGCAACTAATCATATTCATTTAACTTTCCCTTAACAACTTCTGAGATCCGAACATATAGCCGAAAAGAACAATGAGAAGGATGGTGACTTTGTAACATAGACAGATTCTTTCATTTCAGTACCTGATAACTGAAGCCTCTGGGAGATAGATATCTGAGCATCACCAGTACCTGGGGGCATATCCACCACAAGAATGTCTAGCATCCCCCAATCAACTCCTCTTGTCATCTGCTCAAGAGCTTTCATAACCTACATGGGAAATTGTCTCAATCGATTTTTATTTTAAAAATTCGCGACTCTCTCTATTTAGAGTTCTATATCACCATCATCATCATCATTACCCCAGTGTCGCAAAGGTTCCCACCTGCGGTGGGGTAAGGGGGTCAGATGTACTCATGTACGCAACCTTGCCCCTGTACCTAAGTAGCACGGAAACGGAAAACAGGATACGGAAAACGGGAAACGTCGGAAACGCCATTTTTCAAAAATACAGGAAATGAAACGCAGGGGAAACGCATAAATATAAAAAATACAGGGGTTATTTTATAAATATTATATTAACTACTGTAGGGAATATTTATACGGACTAAAGTAAAGCTCCCAAGTACCATAACACATTTACTCCTTAGTAGTGGAATACACATCATCAGTCATGCACTTATCTTGCAATCTACCCCCATTATCAGATATTCACAATTAAATATAGAGCTATGGGCTATATACGAATTTACGGACCATACATTTACAAGCTAAAAAATGTATAGCCCATTAGCCAAATAATTACCGACCTAGAAGCGGAGAAGAGCAAAGATAAAGCGACGGAACGAGCGATAGAACCGTCGTAGAAGAAGGAGAACAATTTAAGAGTTTGGGAGTTATTGTAAATTGCTGAAGACGACGACCTGCACACCAAGATGCTCAAGCGGACGGAGCGCTGAAGAAGACTAGGTTGAAGAGAAGAGGCTTAAATTTCTGAGATTCTGTTTTTTGGGGGGAGGAAACGTGTTCCCGAATTTCTCAAAATTAAAAAACGGCCCCAACACACGTTTCAGCCGTTTCTCACGTTCGGAAACGTGCGTAGTTGCGTACGTTTCCGATACAGGGAAACTCTACCTTCCCAGCGTTTTCGTGCGTTATTGCCCTATACTGAATAACAGAGAGACTGTTTCCGGATGACCCATGGTGAAAATCGCATTGAAAATTGCATGGGCTAACTGCTGCTTCATAATAAAGAAGCGTTGACAGATTAGTGAGTCATTTTGCTTTATTTCATCATATTCTCAATCCAAAAAATAGTGAGTCTTTGGCTCCATTGCAAATGATGGGAATTAGAGTTCTATATCACCATCTTAGTTTTAAAAGGTGTGAGGCGGTATGAAGCGTTTTCATTGAATTTAGCAGAGGCGCGAGGTGAAGGCGCACGCCTCATGGATAGCCTTACACCTGAACTATATTTATGCTACTTTATACCCTCTAAGTAAAACTGTAAAACTTAATATTAAATGACCTAAGAATTCCATAAACCATGGAACAATGTTAACAAACTTAATAAAGATCAAAAGGAGAAACAAAATAAATAGTCAAGTATAACAAACAATCTGTCCTAAACATCATGCATTGTAACGTTCTAATTAAATAGGGAAAAATAATTAAAATACGCCAAACTTTGAAGGGGTGTGAGGTAAACACCACAAACTTGAATATGTAATTTCAATATCCCAAACTTTATTTAAATAGTTATGTTAGCACTATAAACATATAATTTTCACCATAAATTATATTACTGAAAATTTTAAATTTACAAATGACCATGGTGCTAAAATAACTTTTTATGTAAAGTTAACCATGAAACGCAAAAAACGTCTCGAAGCGAGGGATTAAGCGCGCCTACAGGAACCTGCTGCGCACAGGATTCTTGATGCGGTTTTTCTAGCACCTGGGTGCGCCGTGCGCCTTGTGCCACAAGCGCGATTCTTTAATTAAGATCACATTAACAAAAATATAATTGTTCGTCAAAATAGATGGGAGAAGCATACCATAGGTCCCCTCCATACGATTGCTGCATCTTCTTCCACAAGAGATCCCATTGATATACATTTTACACCATAACTTTCAATTGGAATCATTTTCCCATCTGCTGAAAAAAGATCATGAGAATCACAGAGAGCAAAACAAGCAAAAGGATAATGCTCATCGGCTCATTGCTAGTGATGTATACACAAGCCAAGTACTTTGGGCAAGAAAATATTTGAGGTCCCTATAACATGTTAAGATGTATTTGTTAACCCTCAGAACAAAAGAATGTCAGTAGATATTTACTTGAAAAAAAGGGTGGGGGGGGGGGGGGCAAATAAGGTCTCACCTTGGCTGACTTCAGGCTTTCCATGGAGTCGCATCATCAAAGGAATTGAAGGCCCATAAATATCAGCGTCTAGCAACCCAACTTTAAGCCCACACTTATTAGCAAGTGTAACCGCCAAATTAACTGCAAACCCGATAGGTTTACTGAAGAGTTGCTAACAATACAAAATACTTGGGTATTATTTAGTACTCCCTCCGTCCCATTTTACATATTTTCCTTTTTGGTTGTCCCAAAATAAGTGTCACATTTCCTTTTTGGAAAGAAAAATGTAGTCTACAGCATTTCACTTTGTTATACTCAAATCTCAACCACGACTTTTACTTTCTCAACCACTTTATTAATGATTGTCAAATCAAAGTAGGACACATAAAATGAGACGGAGGTAGTATTACCCGAGTCATTTCACCATGTCACCAACACTTTGTTTGGATGAAGTGTTGAAGGGTATTAGAAATTGAGGATGCATGCAGCGTCATTGGTGACCTTGTTTGGAAGGAACTTAAAATTTTAGGAGACGAAGAGTTGGGGTGTGTAAGGGGTAACACTCCCGATGCTTCAACACTTCACTATATCAACACGACAACACCCCAATTTGGGGTATTGCACCGCATTTAATCCTTGCTATCAAGAGAAATCCTTGTTATTTAACCCTACTTTAATTCCCTTAGATATTTGTCTTTACATAATAATGCAACAGCCTTTTATGCGATACGATGCAAATTTTTAATTATGATTTTGAAATTTTAAATTCTAAATGACTGAATAAGTTTATCATTATGTTTATTTTGTAATCCATGAAATATTTATGGACAAATAGCTAAAATGTTGCAATGACACATTGAACAAGTATACTGCAGCATGTGTTGAGCTGGTTTTATTTCATAATGTATATATGATTCTAGACACTTTTTTGTATTGTTGGATATAATGTTAGACAAATTATAACTGTTCAAAACACATGTGAACAGTTGGGCGTAGGAGTAGACAAAACGGAAAAAAATCACGGCTTCCGATTATATACTCATATAATATACATAGTATAATATATTCATATGGCTCACATAAATTTTTTAGATGTAGGGATATTATAGCATACAATTACACTCGCCCTTACAGCCTCCACCAATGCCTGATACTTCAGGCAACTTCCATTACTAACTACCATCAATACTTCATCCAAACAAATTATAAGCTAGAAGCACATGATTTCAAAGCAAGAAGCAATAACAACGCGCATAGCATTTACAGGTACCAGCAGTAGTGGACTTGCCAACACCACCTTTGCCTGAAGCAATGGCTATAATGTCTTTAATTCCTTTGATCTTGAGGTTCTGGGTTTTAGGTGCTGTTTGCAACCCCCTCACCCGACCAAGCTTCAAAATGAGTCAAACAAAAGAAAATGTCAATTTGTTGGAATTGATTGTGTCAATTTCAATCTCAGCAAAAGTTACTTACAATGTAATCTTTGGATATCCCCTTCATAAGTTCATCTGGGAAAGTGAAGAACAAAATCTCAAACCACCATAGTCACTTCTAGGTAATGGCGGAACAAGAACTTTTTTGGTAGACAGCACGAAATATATGAAACTTCAAAAAATTATATTAATAACACGATGAATTTATATTAGAAAAAATGACTAATATATGATTACAATAAAGATAGTGAACAAAAATGTGACTCCTAATACATAGTGACCATGGTAGTAACTTAGGGGGTGTATTCATTTGGGACTTATTTAGACTGTTTAAGATTCGTGACAATATGAGATTTTAGTAGACTTGTATGGACTTCTCAAGATTTGTGCAGATTCTTACGTAAGACATTTATGGATTCTTATACAAATATGAAGACTATATCACCCATACCTACAAGTTACCAATTTTCATCAAAGTGGAAGCTTTATTCAAGGGTGCTCAGAAGCTTTATTTCTTGAGTGGTGGAGTTTTGCAGACCACAACACAGATTCATCGACTGAGTTAGGGATTTGTCCGAGCAGGAAGCGTGACAGGGAGAAGAGGAGGACGTGATAGGTTTCTGATTTCTTCCGGATGGGGAAAAAATCGACACAAGGGCCAAGTCTTTTTCCGGCAACCTCTTAACCTCTCCAAGTTGTAAAGGGTATGTTTCCAACCGCTCATGCTTTAAAAAAAAATGCTTTTTTTATGAAATGAGGAGAAGTGATTAAATAAAAGTTGATAGTGTTTGAAAAAAAAAGTGATTTTGAAAAGTAAAAGTGAGTAGTGTTTGGTAAAATAAGTGTTTTTTGTGTAATAGAAAAAGTAAAAGTACTTTTGACGCGGAAGCCGATAAAAATAAAAGTTGTAGTGTTTGGGAAAATAAGTGCTTTTTTAAAGCCAAAATCTGAGAAGTGCTTTTTTAAAAGCAGTTGCAAACCAACCCAAAGTCTAATCCATGTCTTAGTTCAATATGAATACACCTAAACATTTTGGGATTTCTAAAATGTCTTAGAATTGCTTAATTAAATACACCAAGATTTAATAAATCCTAAAATGTCTTAAAATGTCTATAATGAATACACCCCCTTAATGACTACTACTATGTTCGGTTTTACACACAAGTGACCATGATTATACCGCCATAATAATTTTAATCAGATTTTTGTCCATAAATTTAAATGTTTTATGTCAATAATATTTTAGAAAAAGTGTCTTTAAATTATCATTAAATATGCAGAACTTCACTAATTCATCAAACAAAAAGGTTAGAATGCATCAAATTTAAAATTATAGCATTGCTGGGTTTTGGTATAGGCAAAAAGGCTCAGCAACTCTCTAATTCGCAATCCTAATTTCTAAACATATAGCAGAACTCTGTACATGCAAACAGAAATACTATGTATTAGATTAGGGGAAAGGTGCAGAAGTATATGTGTAGGTGCACATATATCTCTGAATTTCTAAAAGGTGCAAAATACTTCTCATGTTCCTATATAAAGAAGATTTTACCCATATTAAGAAAAATAATTCAATTGTTACAAGATCCACGTTAATGTATAAATGATAGAAATACATTCAATTCAGTAATTGGTAAAAAACAACATTTCTGGAATTTAATTTAGTTCGATCAAGCATTGATTGAATGGAAATAAAAATAATCCTTATTAAAAAAAATTAAAAGTATTGATAAAAATGAAGATGGCGTGTTTATCTTTAAATTCAATTTTTTGCTTCAGTTTTTGTCTAAATGGGAGGGTAATTGTTAAGAATATATATTTTTAAGTAAAAAAGATTATAAAGCACACATGCTTATATATAACTCAACAAAATAATTATTCACTCTTAATAGTAATAATACATTTTTTTATAAAAATGGAATGGGTAATAGTGAATAGTGTTTCTTTAATTTCCAAATATATTTTAACTTCTGAACTAGAGGTTATGTGTGAGGGTACAGAACAAACATGGAAGGTGTTGAGTATGCTATTAGAGCATCTCCAATGCTATAATGTCCACGGTGCACATGTGGCATGAGTGATAGCCACAAAATTATTAGCAAATAAATTATTTCTCTCCTTATTTGAATGATTTTATACAATTTTGGTAAGTTTTTCCCTGCAATGTCAACAACAATGTCAACATTAGACGGTCTCCTTGACATTGTGGAGAAAAACTTACCAAAACTGTATAAAATCATTCAAATAAGGAGAGAAATAATTTATTTACTAATATTTATGTGGTCATCTCTCATGCCACGTGTGCACCGTGCACATTGTACCATTGAAGATGCTCTTAGCTCTGTATCCTGCGATAAAACTGATTATACTTTATATCTTGGGAAAATCGCATATGGTCCCTCAGTTATCCACGAAATTAAAATCTCCGACCTGTATTTCTGAGATTGTAAATGTCACCCCTCAATTGTCCAAAATGTTATAGCTTTTATGGTGTTAAGCACATAATATAGGACGACAGTTCCAAATTGCGTTTTATATGTATATTCCGGACCAGTTTTCTTTCAAAAATCATTTGACGACCTTCCCGATTGAATTTTTTGCTCAAATTTGGTATGGATGAACTAGACTTGATGGGGAACATACACAAAAAATTTCAGCCAAAAATACCACTGGTTCTAAGGGGTTCTCATGGGTTCTCATTTTAAGAGGGGTTCTCACTAGAACCCTCTCCTTTTTTTTTTTTTTTTTTTTTTTAAAACAGAAAGGATTTTATTGAGTCTGGAATAATTTACAAGTGATGGAAGAAATAAAAACGGAGAAAACTAAGAAGAACATAAGAAACCTATCGGATCAGCCCAAAGTTGGCCATGGCCCAGAGGTGGGCCTGAAGAATATTTGTAATCGTCCGTATTATGCTCGAACATAATACGGCCAACACACTTTCATCCCTATATTCTCTTCCAATTCTTACGATCCAGAGAGAGATATTCTAGGGTTTTGGTGTGCGGCCACTGTGACCTTCGATCATCCTGCGTCGCGAAAAGGGGTGATTTCATGGCCTCCGTCAGCCATCATCTCTGTGGTGTGAAGATTCGGGGTCGTAGTGAATGGTGTAAAGCTGATGATGACGGTGCTCTTCTCCTTTCTCTTCGTACGCGTTTCGTCCAGAATTTCAGGTGAGTGGATTTCCATTGCTGCTTTTTTAAATTTTCCTTTGTCTCTTTGGTAATGTAATGAATCTTGTATTTGTCGTTCTTGTTGATGAGGGAACTCATGGGGTGTTGTTGTCGAGTTGGTGTCTGCATGAATCCTACCTGGTGCCGTTGTTGTAATTTCAATTGATGATCTGTCAGGTAAGATATCTGTCCTTGATCTCGTTCGTTTGCATTCCGCTGTTGATTGATCTTTGGTGTTGAGACTTTCCGTGTTATGTTGATGCAGTGGAGTTATGTGTGTGTTGTTATCGTGTTGAGTAGAGTCCTTGAAATGTGGTATTAGCCCGTCTGAGTGAAGTTCTGCGTTGAATCTGAAATTTCCTTTCTTGAGTTTACTGTGGAACCATTCTCTAGAGTAAGCTGTGATTTCTTTTATGATGAGGGCCGTAGTTGTGGTCTTCCCCTCCCAGATGATAGAGTTATAATTTTTCCAGGTGATCCACATGATGATTCCAGGTAGCAGCTGTCTTAGTGTGTCTTCTGTACTGTTTGTCTTCCCACCTAGCCACCATTTAAAAAGTGTCTGTCTTAGGTCTGAGTGTGTAGTTGTTCCAACCTGCAAAATGTAAGAAAAGTGATTCCATATAGGACGGATTAGTGTACAACTGAATAAGCAGTGGTTCATTGTTTCCTCATGTTTGAGGCATAGGGGGCACCTAGTTGCCATTTGGATTCTGAATCTTTGTAGATTGTCCGGGAAAGGGAGGGTTTTGTTCAGGTACTTCCAAAAGAATATCTTAAGTTTGAGTGGTAGTTTAGAACCCCATAATTGTTTTTGGCTGAAAGTCTCCGGGTGCTTTATTCTTGCCATTTCATATGCCGAGGATAGAGTGAATTTTCCATCTGTTTTGGCCATCCAGATCTGATGCCCTTGAGATTCTTGTATGAGGTCATGGTGGTTGTGGTCAGTTAGGCAAATTTGTTTCCAAAGGCAAGAATCAGTAGGTTTGTAGGTCATATCATTTTCCCTCCCATATCTGTGATGCATGTATTCGGCCCATGTCGAGTTGTTTTCTTTATAATTCCACCAAAGCTTGATCTGTAGGGTTGTTTGGATGTCTTGTAGTGATCTTAGATTCAACCCCCCCTCTCTTCCAGGTCTGCATAATGTTGTCCATTTTTTCCAGTGGTATTTATTTTTCCTTTGCGTGGAACCCCAGAAGAAATTTGCCATTGTGTTTTGTAGGATATTGATCACTCTGTTTGGGAGTTTGTTAGTTGTCATTTGGTGAATTGGAATGGTTGCTAGGACGTGTTTGATCAGAATCAAGCGTCCGCTTTGACTCAGGTTTTTTTTGCTCCATGTTTGCAGCCTGTTCTCGAAGCTCTTTATGATGTTGAGGCAATGGGGAACTCTCGTTATTCCTTTATGAATTACCACTCCCAAGTAAGTAGTTGGAAGATGCGAGATGGTCATTCCAGTTTGGTGTTTGATAGCTAGTTTCCTTGCTATTCCTGTTCTGCTACTAACTAAAACGGTGCATTTGTTATAGTTTAGAAGCTGACCAGATCCGGAAGTGTAAGTATTAAGGAAGTCCTGAAGGTTTTGCAGAGACCTGGACGATCCATTCAAAAACAAGAGGATGTCATCAGCGTACAGAAGTTGTGAGACCGGCACTCCTCCCCTGCCAATTTGAAAGTTTTCAATTTTGTTTGAGTGTATTAGTGCTTGTAAGCCCTTTGAGAAGCATTCAAGTTGTAATAGAAATAGGTACGGGGATAGGGGGTCCCCCTGCTTGACCCCCCTTTCTGGCTTGAAGAAGCCCACAGCCTGCCCGTTTACGAGAACAGAAAGTCTCGTGGACCTGATGTTGTCCATAATGATGCTGGAGACCCGCCTTTCAAACCCTAAGCGTGTTAGGACTTCTTCCATGAAGTCCCAGGACACCCTATCGAACGCTTGAGTTAGATCCAGTTTAATGGCGATGTTTCCACCCCTGACTTTCTTGTCAAGGTGGTGCATCATTTCCTTTGCCATAAGGACATGCTGGTGAATATCCTGACCGACCATGAATCCGATTTGCTCCTTTGATACCATCTTATATAGAAACGGTTTAATTCTGTTAGCTAGTATCTTAGTGCAGACCTTGCATATGAAGTTGGATAGGGAGATTGGTCTGAAGCCGTGGAGGTGGGTGGGGTTCTGGGTCTTAGGTATGAGGACAATTAAAGAGCTTGTGAGAGCCTTAGGCATTGGGATGCCAAGGAAAAATTCTTGAACCGCGCCGGTTACGTCATTTTGGATGATAGCCCAACACTTCCTGTAAAAGAGCCCATTA